AATTTGCCTCTCTCTCTCTCTCCTCTCTCTCTCCCCCCCCCCCCTCTCTCTCTTCTATCGTCACGCTCTCCTTCCTACACTATCACACTGTCCTCCTTCCCTACCTTCCCTCCCCTCCTCTCCCTACCACCCCTCCTCTCCCCTACCACCCCTCAACCCCCCCCCCCTTCTCTCCCCTACCACCCTTATCTCCCTACAAGCTTCGCCCTCCTCTACCACCATGGCAGGGATGATTAACTACCATCTAGGGAAATCAGTGGTTACCCATAAGGCTAAGACTGTGGCACTGACTGGCACTATGGGTAGAGTGCCAGGAGCCAGCTTTGTGTTATGGCCAAATGGTGGTGATGGTGGAGTGGTGGTGGTGGTGGTAGGTGGTGGTGGTGGTAGAATGGTGGTGGTGGTGGGGGTAGAGTGGTGGTGGTGGTGGTGGTAGAGTGGTGGTGGTGGAGGTGGAAGTGGTGGTAGGGTGGTGGTGGTGGTAGAGTGGTGGTGGTGGTGGTAGGGTGGTGGTGGTGGTAGGGTGGTGGTGGTGGTAGGGTGGTGGTGGTGGTAGAGTGGTGGTGGTGGTGGTGGTGGAGGTGGTGGTAAAGTGGTGGTGGTGGTGGTGGTGGTAGAGTGGTGGTGGTGGTGGTGGTGGTAGAGTGGTGGTGGTGGTAGAGTGGTGGTGGCAGAGTGGTGGTGGTGGTGGTAGAGTGGTGTGGTGGTGGTGGTAGGTAGTGGTGGTGGTAAAGTGGTGGTATGGTGGTGGTGGTAGAGTGGTGGTGGCGGGTGGTGGTAGGGTGGTGGTGGTGGTAGAGTGGTGGTGGTGGTGGTGGTGGTAGAGTGGTGGTGGTGGTGGTGGTAGAGTGGTGGTGGTGGTGGGGGTGGTAGAGTGGTGGTGGTGGTAGGGTGGTGGTGGTGGTAGAGTGGTGGTGGTGGTGGTGGTATGGTGGTGGTGGTGGTAGAGTGGTGGTGGTGGTGGTAGAGTGGTGGTGGTGGTGGTGAGTGGTGGTGGTGGTGGTGGTAGAGTGGTGGTGGTGGTATGGTGGTGGTGGTGGTAGAGTGGTGGTGGTGGTGGTAGAGGGTGGTGGTGGTGGTGGTAGAGTGGTGGTGGTGGTGGTGGTAGAGTGGTGGTGGTGGTGGCAGAGTGGGTGGTGGTGGTGGTGAGAGTGTTGGTGGTGGTGGTGGTAGAGTGGTGGTGGTGGTAGAGTGGTGGTGGTGGTGGCAGAGCGGTGGTGGTGGTGGTGGTAGAGTGGTGGTGGTGGTGGTAGTGGTGGTGGTGGTGGTAGGTGATACTCCTACAGTGGTAAGGAGAACACACACACACACACACACACACACACACACACAATAATGGTCAACACACACACACACACACACACACATACTAATAAAGATCAATAAAAATACGACTTAAGAAACACTTCTCTTAAGATTAATCATATATTCTCTCAGGTAAAGATTAATTACAGGTGTATATCATCGTAGCCAATCAAGAAGTTCTGTTCTAAGATGCTGTGATCGAGAAAAAGTTCCTGGAAGTTTACAAAAGTTTAGAAAATAAAAAAGGTTAGTCTTTCTAATTTACTAAGCCGAGTAGATAATAATACTTTGTAGAATAAAGGAATTTTAAAGCCTTTCAGAGCGAGGGGGAGGAGAGGAAGGGAGGAGGGAGGCGGGAGGAGGGGGAGGGAGGGAGGGGAAAGAGGAGGGAAGGAAAGGGTGGGAGGAGGGGGAGGGAGGAGGAAGAGGGAGGAGGGGGAAGTGGGAGGAGGAGGCGCAGGAGCTGGGAAGGAGGGAGAAGGAGAGAAAGGAAGGAAGGGGAAGGAGGGTGAGGGGTGAGATAGGGGAAAGGGGGGTGTGTGTAATAGTGGCTGGTGGTGGGAGAGTGACTTAAGGGTACATGAGGATTGGGAGGTAGGTTGATGGGGAAATGAGGTGGGGAGGGGAAGATAGGGAAGAAAATGATGAGGGAAAGAGGAAGGAAAGGAGGTAAGACGAGGACGGGAGGAAGGGAAGGATGTAGGAGGAAAGGCAGACGGGAGGGAGGGAGGTGAGGGAGGGAGGTAGGGAAGGAGGGAAGAAAGCTTTGTGTTTATATTTTAAGGTAACGTTTACTCATATAGTTGGGTGATTAGTCGCTCGTCTCAGTCCAATCACCACCACCACCACCACCGCCACCACCGCCACCACCACCACAGTAAGGCTCTTCAACGTGTCTCTGGTGTTGTAAGTACTTCAGTCTTCAACTTAGTGTCAGGCTATGTACCCTCGATCCACACCGTCCCTCAGTTAAATACACAGATTTTGTCGTGTCCTTCTAGTGATCTATAAAGAAATATTGAAGTATAATAATTTCTCTTTACTATAGTTCTCGTGGCATTTAAATTACGTTACGTGTTTTAAGTAGCTGAGGTTCGTGATTTTAGTTACTTACATCAACATTGTCGTAATCTTATCGATAGACTTTTTATGGTATTTTCTTAAGTTTCTTTATTTCAATGTGTAGATCAAACCAGTGAGGTAACGAGATTGGTTCCTTGATAAGCAGCAGGTAAGAAGCTGACCCTCCCTAATCTTTGGGGCTCTGACTAATTAACCAATTCAGAACTCATATAATTCTACTTACAATCACCGTTCAGGATAGTCCACTAGCCCTGTTTACCCTCACTACCGTGTTTGTAAATGTGTAAAATAACTACTTACTCTCCCTAGTATCGTAATTAATCTTATCTTACGTAGAGTTTCAGATTATCGTAAGTATTGTAATCCAACATAAAAAAAAAACACAATGACTTAAACTGTATCTAAACAATTGAAAACTATTATTGGTGACGAGGTTAACATTTTTTAAGCAGAGTTTTAACCTTCAAATAGTTCCAACAAGTTTTATGAACACACATCAGACCAACTTGTTATACTGTACAAGCTGAGCCTAATTGTAACCTCTGATCAAGAAAGTTAGATTAGTCGAGATGTATGACACAAATTACAAAGGAAATAGTTCATGACATTTCGAACTTGAGACTTTTTAAAGGTAACCAATAATTTTATACGTGTTGCTCGCTTTTAGTGTTGAATAAATCGCAAAAAAGGCAATTAACCGCACAAAACTGCAATAAACCGCAAAAACTGCAATAAACCGCACAAAACTGCAATAAACCGCAAAAAATGCAATAAACCGCAAAAAAATTCATTAAACTACGAAAAACCGGAAATAAACCGAAAACCCCCCACAATATTTAAGTTACACATCCGATGATTCGTTTATTTCCTAAAAGAAACGCTCAAAACACCTCAATAGTTAGTGCAGTATATAACTCCAACAACTCCGGTGAAAGACCTTAGATGTTAATGCAGCAAATATCAACAATATTCTTTAGCGACTAATTTACTCTTCTAAACTACTCGCTTAAAAGACCTTAGTTGCTTAGTACTGTAATCCCTTCAAAGACGACACGATAGAGAATAGCCCTTGTCAAGACCGCCTATTAGTCACTAGTAGCAGCTAGTAAGATCACTTGGCCAATAGGACAACGAAGTCTTTTACTTTTGTTTTTCTATAGATTTCTTATTTCTATTACTTCTGTTAATTTATATAGAGTAAACGAACTGTGCTAACTTGTTTTAAGAAATTTTAATTCGGGAACTTTTAAAGCTTCAGGTGTGGGAAAAAAACACGTGTATAGTTTTGGTCATAAGTGAGAAGTCAAGTAGGTGTCGGTCAGGGTGTTTAGACTTGTTCCCTCTCTAAGCGTTTTAGATTGCCCCTTGCCTCTTCCCCAGCGCGTTTTAATGCCACTTGTCCCTCTCCTGTTAATTTTGCTGCCTCTTTTGCCCTCCCCTGGGTATTTTATTGCCTCTTGCCACTTACCTGTTCATTTTACTGCCTCTTGCCCCTTCCCTGTTCACTTTACTGCCTCTTGCTCCCTCCACTGTTCATTTTACTGCCAAAGAATTCCTACTCACCGCCAGACACTCCTGTACATCGCCAGACATTCCTGTACACCACCAGAGACTCCTGTACACCGCCAGACATTCCTGTACACTGTCAGACAGTCCTTTCCATCACCAGGCACTCGTGTACACTGCCAGACATTAATTACACCGTCAGACATTCCTGTATATTGTCAGACACTCCTGTACATCGCTAGACATTCCTGTGCACCACCAGACACTCCTGTACACCGTCAGACATTCCTGTATATTGTCAGACACTCCTGTACATCGCTAGACATTCCTGTACACCACCAGACACTCCTTACACCATCAGACATTCCTGTATATTGTCAGACACTCCTGTACACCACCAGACTCCCCTGTACACCGTCAGTGTAAATGTGTGTCTGGCGGTGTACAGTCAAGTCTAACGGTGTACAGGGAGTCTGGCGGTGTACAGGAGAGTCTGACGGTGTACAGTGTAATCTGATGTGGGCCCCCAGCAGCCCAGCCGGTGGTGGTGGCACCGCCAGGGGCACTGCCAGGGTCGGTTGTGCCCCTATGGGCCCTCCCAGGGACAGCAGCGCCTTCAGGGGCTCTCCCAAAGGCGGTGGCGTCCCCAACGGCCCCATCATGGGCAGTGGCGCCCCCAGGAGAACTGCCAGGGACAGCGGCGCCACCAGGAGCCCCCAAGGGACGGCAGTGCCCCCAGGGGCTCTCTCAGGGACAGTGACGCTCCCAGGGCGCCCTCCCAGGGGCCCTCCCAAAGAACAGCAGCTCCACTATGGGCCCCGCCAGGAGCGCTGGCGTCCCAGGGGCCTTCCCAGGGACATCGGCGATCCTAGGGGCACTCCTAGGGACGTCAGCATCCCCAGGGGCCCTGTCATGGGTGCTAGCGCCCCCAGGGAATCTCTCAGGGACAGCGGCGCTTCCAGGGCCCCTCTCAGGGGCGGTGGCACCACCAGGGGCCGTGACAGGGACAGCGGCGCTCCCAGGGGCCTTCCACAGACGATGGCGCCCCTATGGGACTTCCAGTGACGGTGACGCCCACAGGGGCCCTTCCAGGGACTGCGGTGTCCCTAGAGACCCTGCCAGGGGTGGCAGCGCCCCAGGGGCCCTGCCAAGGACCGTAGCGCCCCCAGGGGCTCTACCAGGGGCTCTCCCAGGGACAGCGGCGCACCCAGAAACCCTCCCAGGGACGGCGGCGCTCCCAGGAACCCTTCCAGGGACAACGGCACTCCCAGCAGTCCTTTCAGGGGCGGTGACGTCTGGTGGGGCCATGCCAGGGATAGCGGATCTCCCAGGGGCCCTTTCACAAACGGCGGTGCCACCAAAGGCCCTGCCAAAGGCGCTGGCGCCCCAGGGGTCCTACCAGGGGGGTGTAGCACCGCCAAGGACCCTGCCAAGGGCGGTGGCGCCCCAGGGACAGCGGAACTCCCCGGCGGCCCTTCCAAGTACAGAGGCGCCCCCTGGGGACCTGCCAGGGCGTGGCGAACCCAGTTGCTCTCCCAGGGGCCCTGCCAGAGACGGCGGCCACCCTGGGGCCCTGTCATGGGTGCTGGCACCCCCAGGGGCTCTCCCAAGTACAGCAGCGCTCCCAGGAGTGCTCCTAGGGACGGCAGTGCTCCTAGAGGCCCGCCCAAAGACGGCAGAAACCCCAGGGGCCTCCCAACGACAGCGGCAACTCCAGGGGAACTCCCAGGGGCGGTGGCGTCACCAGGGACCGTACTATAAGCGGTGTCGCCCCCAAGGGCCCTACCAGGGACAGCGGCGTCCCTGGGAGAGCCCCTGGGAGAATCGCTCTCCCCGGGAGAGCCCCTGAGAGCACCAGCGTTACTTGCAGGGCCTCTGGGGGCATCACCATCCCTGGGAGGGTCTCTGAGAGCGCCGCCGTCTCTGGGAAGGCCTCTGGGAACGCGGCTGCGCCTGAGAGAACCCCTGGGGGCACCGCTGTACCTGAGAGAGCCCGTGGGGACAACGACGTCCCTGGGAGTGCCCATGTGGATGCCAGCGCCTACGTCAGGGCTCTTGGGGGAGCTGTCGTCCCTGGAAAGGCGTCTGGGGACACAGCTGTTATTCGGAAGGCCTCGGGGCGTCACTGTCTCTGGGAGCTCCTGGAGTCGCTTCTGTCTTTGGGGAAGTCCCTAAGGGTGCAAGCGCCCTTGGCAGGGCCCTGGGAGAGCCACTGAGAGCGCCAGACTTGTAGGGCCCGTGGCTGCAGTAGTTTTTGCGCTATTTAGAACTCTGGGAGATGCAACGTTAAATAAATGCCACCGCCAGTCACATTTCAAGTATCATCGAATGAAGACAACGGAGAATAATATCAACAGGAAATCATAAGTTGGGGTGTTGTGCTGACTGACTGCTCTCTTCTCCTATTGGCTGTAAGTTGGTGGGTAAAGAGAATAGTCCTCCAATCATTGATAAGTAAGGGACTGATGTCCGATACGATACGATACGAAGTCTTTAGTTAAGAGGTGAAAGAAGATTATTAGGAGTTGAGGGAAAAGTGGTGAAACTGAAATACAGTAGGAGTAGAAAGAATCTGGGCTCAACCAGATCGCTTCATCTTTCTTATTGGTGTTTTGTCTTTGTTCTGCTCCCTTGGGTCGTCAGACCTTTGTATTAATATTGGTTTATTTATATAATGCTGCTTATTATTATTATTTGTTATTGTTGGAGTTAGTGAGCCCGCCCAGGTCCTTGTGTAACTGGGAGGGTAGTCACTTTTTTTTGAGGTGTTAGTTAAGTGTTAGTTGTGTTAGTCTAAAGGTACACTGTATGGAGAGGCCTGCCAGGTTCTTAGTGGAGCTGGTTGGTCACTCTCATCTTTATTCCTCTAGTAATGTTTTATGTAGAAATGTGTATGTTGAGGCAGGAGGTGGTTCAATTACTTCTTCCTGGCTGATATAGCTGGGAGGGTAATCACATTATTATTATTAATATTATTAATATTTTTTTATTTTTTTATTTATTTTTTATTTAATTTTTTTTTGAGTTAGTGAGCCCGCCCAGGTCCTTGTGTAGCTGGGAGGGTAGTCACATTTTTATTTATTTATTTTTTTTTTTTTACTAAGATGTTAGTTCAATGTTAAATGTTAAATGTTAAATGTTAAATATTAGTTATGTTAGTCTAAAGGTACGCTGTATGGAGAGGCCTGCCAGGTTCTTGTGGAGCTGGTAGGTCACTCTCATCTTTTATTCTCTCTATTAATGTTTTATATGTATATTGGGGCAGGAGATGGTTCAATTACTTTCTTCCTGGCTGATTTAAACCAACTGTGTTCTTGGAATTCTTCGTTGTCTATATTATTTATCCAGTTTTGATATGTTTCTGTGTTAAGTTCAGTCACTTTTTTCCAAATATTTACAGCTTTGTTGTGTATATCTACATTGATTGCTAAGTGGTTTGCTCTCTTGTGTAGTTGTTCATTATTGATGTGGTCTGTATATTTTATGTTGTATATAAATCTGAGGGCTATATTTTGTACTGTTTGTAACCTTTTAATGCACGTTTTACTAAGGGTGTTCAATGGGATGGGTGGGTAGTCCATAATTGATTTAACAAGGGCAATATAAATCTTTCTTTTGTTATTAATGCTAAGGTTCTTAAAGCGTTTTATTTTTGATAATCTTATTCTTGCCTGTCGTTCTTTATCTTTTAAGTATGTTATATATCCACTTTTTGTTAGTTTTAATCCAAGCATCCTACCTTCAGTGTCGTATGGGTATAGTTCCTGGTCGACTATTACTGGACTTGTTTTAATCTTGGCTATTGGTATTATCTTGAATTTGTTCTTATTTGTCCTGATTTTCCATTTTTTCTCAAAATCATTTATGTTTTTTATCGCTCTTACCGTGTAGAGTGCCATAAATTGAGTTGATTTTCCTGGGTATGATACTATTTGAGCAATATCATCAGCAAACATTACATATTCGCTAAAGGGGGTAGGTTGAGGTGTGTCTGAAGTATAAATTGTATACAGGGGCAGCCATGATCCCTGGGGCCTTTCCAGGGACGGGGGCGCCTCCAGGTACGTTCCTAGGGACCGTGGTGATCCCAGAGGCCCTGCCAGCGGCGGTGGCGCCTTCAGGGGCCCTTTTTCAGAGGCGGTGGCTCCTCCCAGGCCTCTTTATGGGGCGCGACTGCTCCCAGGGGCCCTGCCAAGGCCTGTGGCTCACAATAGGTCCTCCTAGGGGAGGCGGCGCCCCAAAAAAATGGATACTGGTGTCGTACATAGTGCATTCTTTCAGTAATCTCTTACTTAACTGTGATTGGTGGAATAAGAGGTAACGTCATCAAATTACAGCCAATAGGAAAACAGAGCAACCAGTCAGCACAACACCCCAACTTATGCTTTGCTGTTGGATATTTATTCTCCTTTTCATTGTTCAGGTTGCGATAATACTGAAAATGCTATGGGCAGTGTGTATTTTATTTAACATCATATCTCCCAGAGTTTAAAATAGTGAAACGAGAATAAATATCCAACAGCAAAGCATAAGTTGGGGTGTTGTGCTGACTGATTGCTCTGTTCTCCTATTGGCTGTAATTTTATGACGTCACATCTTACTCCACCAATCACGTTTAAGTAAGGGATTACTGGACGAATGCAAAATGTACGACAAAAATATGAAGCTCTTGGGGTAAAGCTGCATGTGGAAGGGCCCCTGGGGGCGCCGTCGCCCCTGGCAGAGATCCTGCCGCCCCTGGAAAGACACCCACTGCCACTAGGAGGGCGCCACTGCTCCCAGGGACCCTGCCAACGCCTGTGGCTCACAATAGGTCCTCCTAGGGGAGGCGGCGCCCCAAAAAAATGGATACTGGTGTCGTAAATATTGCATTCTTTCAGTAATCTCTTACTTAACTGTGATTGGTGGAATAAGAGGTAACGTCATCAAATTACAGCCAATAGGAAAACAGAGCAACCAGTCAGCACAACACCCCAACTTATGCTTTGCTGTTGGATATTTATTCTCCTTTTCATTGTTCAGGTTGCGATAATACTGAAAATGCAATGGGCAGTGTGTATTTTATTTAACAACATATCTCCCAGAGTTTAAAATAGTGAAACGAGAATAAATATCCAACAGCAAAGCATAAGTTGGGGTGTTGTGCTGACTGATTGCTCTGTTCTATTGGCTGTAATTTTATGACGTCACATCTTACTCCACCAATCACGTTTAAGTAAGGGATTACTGGACGAATGCAAAATGTACGACAAAAATATGAAGCTCTTGGGGTAAAGCTGCATGTGGAAGGCTCTCCCTGGGGGCGCCGGGGCTGCCTGGCAGAGATCCTGCCGCCCCGGAAAGACACCCACCGCCACCAGTGGCGGCGCCACTGCCCCGACCCCAAGCAACGCCCGTGGCTCACAATAGGTCCTCCTAGGGGAGGCGGCGCCCCAAAAAAATGGATACTGGTGTCGTAAATATTACATTCTTTCAGTAATCTCTTACTTAACTGTGATTGGTGGAATAAGAGGTAACGTCATCAAATTACAGCCAATAGGAAAACAGAGCAACCAGTCAGCACAACACCCCAACTTATGCTTTGCTGTTGGATATTTATTCTCCTTTTCATTGTTCAGGTTGCGATAATACTGAAAATGCTATGGGCAGAGTGTATTTTATTTAACATCATATCTCCCAGAGTTTAAAATAGTGAAACGAGAATAAATATCCAACAGCAAAGCATAAGTTGGGGTGTTGTGCTGACTGATTGCTCTGTTCTCCTATTGGCTGTAATTTTATGACATCACATCTTACTCCACCAATCACGTTTAAGTAAGGGATTACTGGACGAATGCAAAATGTACGACAAAAATATGAAGTTCTTGGGGTAAAGCTGCATGTGGAAGGGCCCCTGGGGGCGCCGTCGCCCCTGGCAGAGATCCTGCCGCCCCTGGAAAGACACCCACTGCCACTAGGAGGGCGCCACTGCTCCCAGGGACCCTGCCAACGCCTGTGGCTCACAATAGGTCCTCCTAGGGGAGGCGGCGCCCCAAAAAAATGGATACTGGTGTCGTAAATATTACATTCTTTCAGTAATCTCTTACTTAACTGTGATTGGTGGAATAAGAGGTAACGTCATCAAATTACAGCCAATAGGAAAACAGAGCAACCAGTCAGCACAACACCCCAACTTATGCTTTGCTGTTGGATATTTATTCTCCTTTTCATTGTTCAGGTTGCTTATACAATACTGAAAAATGCTATGGGCAGTGTATTTTATTTAACATCATTCCCAGAGTTTAAAAATAGTGAAACGAGAATAAATATCCAACAGCAAAGCATAAGTTGGGGTGTTGTGCTGACTGATTGCTCTGTTCTCCTATTGGCTGTAATTTTATGACGTCACATCTTACTCCACCAATCACGTTTAAGTAATGGATTACTGGACGAATGCAAAATGCACGACAAAAATATGAAGTTCTTGGGGTAAAGCTGCATGTGGAAGGGCCCCTGGGGGCGCCGTCGCCCCTGGCAGAGATCCTGCCGCCCCTGGAAAGACACCCACTGCCACTAGGAGGGCGCCACTGCTCCCAGGGACCCTGCCAACGCCTGTGGCTCACAATAGGTCCTCCTAGGGGAGGCGGCGCCCCAAAAATATGGATACTGGTGTCGTAAATATTGCATTCTTTCAGTAATCTCTTACTTAACTGTGAATGGTGGAATAAGAGGTAACGTCATCAAATTACAGCCAATAGGAAAACAGAGCAACCAGTCAGCACAACACCCCAACTTATGCTTTGCTGTTGGATATTTATTCTCCTTTTCATTGTTCAGGTTGCGATAATACTGAAAATGCTATGGGCAGTGTGTAGTTTTTTTAACATCATAACTCCCAGAGTTTAAAATAGTGAAAAGAGAATAAATATCCAACAGCAAAGCATAAGTTGGGGTGTTGTGCTGACTGATTGCTCTGTTCTCCTATGGGCTGTAATTTTATGACGTCACATCTTACTCCACCAATCACGTTTAAGTAAGGGATTACTGGACGAATGCAAAATGTACGACAAAAATATGAAGTTCTTGGGGTAAAGCTGCATGTGGAAGGGCCCCTGGGGGCGCCGTCGCCCCTGGCAGAGATCCTGCCGCCCCTGAAAAGACACCCACTGCCACTAGGAGGGCGCCACTGCTC